TAATTTTATGATTATAAATGTAAGGAGATTGAGATGCTCTCAGAGCCTAATCTTTGGTGTAGGAGTTAAAATCCTATTCACTCCTGAGCACGTGTCTCAAGAAACAGCATCTTGCTTTTTTTTTTCCACAGCAGTTTTCATTCCTCCTTTGTTCTTTTTTCATGCGAAGATGTTGCAGTTTAAACATTATTGAGCAAGCTGTAGAGAAAGTCAATACTTTGTGAGAAAATGCTACTTCGCTTCACCTAATGTACCACATTGGAGAGAGTTTGTAGTGGTCACATACTAGATATGATCATCCAAAATATGATTTATCCAAAGCATGCTGCAGCAACACCCCCAATAAAAGTGCTCAAGCACCAGGTAAATTCTGTGCAGTAGGATTTTGTGACTGGAGAATTGGAATAATAGCATGTCATCTGAACTTTTGTCCATAGTCTTGCTCAGGTACACTAGTGCACCACACCTCAGTAAGGACAAGATGGCAGGCATTGTGCAGGTGTTCTGCTTGGCTGAGGGCTCACGTACAGAGAGTGCATCTACATAAAGGATCTGGCCCAGTGTGTGCTGTTTGGGAATTTATTATTGGGCCCAAGGTGAGCAGGCCTCAAGGGACAGTGCTGGCAAGTGTGTTCTCCCAAAATATGGCACAGAGAGGGCGTGCGCAGCAGCTTTGGAAAATGAGGGCTCTGGGCCGCTAGGCTTGGGTTGGCTGTGGCTTAGTTATGGTATGTAAATACGGCGTGAGTCTTAGACAAATGGAGGTGAGGATTTGCCTGTCTTCTTGAGACATTATGTTAAAATCACATTATCCTGTTAAAATCCAAAGCACACATTAGAGTTCAAATTGTGTTGCTGTCACAACTGGAAGAAGGTGGTGTATCTTTAATGAAAGAAGAAGAGCTGAAGTGAATGATGTGAAAAAAATGTGTACACAGAGAGCAATTGAGGACGCAGTGGAATCCTGGGCTGCCTCTTCACCTACAAGGTTTGGCCCTCAGGACGGTCAGGGCCTGGAGTTCCTGTGGGTTCTCTCTTCTCTGCGAGACACATGTGAGCCTCTGTTTGTTCTGCTCAGACCCCCTCCCTTTGAGATCTCAGAGCTGCCACCTGGCCAGGTTACAGCTTCAGGTGAAGTCCGGGCAAGAGGAGAATCGTGGAGATGGCAGAGTCCCCCAGAGCTGGCTCTACCTCAGGGTGGCCCTGACTCTCCAGTTTGGAGACTGGAGACCCCTTAATTGTCCTCCCCCACAGAGGCATCTGCCCCCGGGCACAGCCTTTTCCCTATTTCCCTGGTATTCTTAGCAGTGGGGAGGGCCAGGCGCATTAATCTTGCTTTGCCAACACTTAGGGTTGCTCATCCCTTCTGTTCGCCGAGACCCTGGCTGTGGCCATTGGGCAGGACCAGGGTAAGAGAAGAATGGGGAAAGGAGAAACGGGAACCCGTTTCTCACCAACTCAAGCAACTCTGTCTTGTGTGTGGGTTTCCCACCCAGTGCCCCTCTGGCCTGTGGAGACCTTCCTAGCTGCTATTCTGGGCCCAGCCTGTTACACTGCGTCTCTTATCCCAAATGTTTGTTGCCTGATCCTCGGACATAGGGACCTTTTTTATTCATCAGAATCAGAGAAAAAGTTTCTCTGTGCTTAAGAGCCCGAGTGGGCGGAGAGAAGTGGCTCTTAACTCCCCAATTCAGGGTCCTGGGTGCACTTTCTGTAGAAATCATGCTTCACACCAGGCTGTAGCAGAGCCGTGCTGCTTGACTGTGATGGAATCCTGGCTGTGTGTGTTGAGCTTGTGCCTTGACCTCTTGTCGCCTCCGTTTTCCCTTCTGCAGAACTAGGGATGGGAGGGTTCAGGTGACACAGGTTTCAGTAAAGGCAGGTCCCTCCCTATCCCCCAGGCACCTGCCTCTTGAATTTCCCTGCACCAGCAGCTACATATGACATGGCTCCCGTGGAAGAATGTTTGTTTTCCAGGTGCCAAAAGCCCGACGGGAGAGCCTTCTGTTCTGGTGGCCATCTGGCACTGGCAGGATCATGGCCAAGTGGTTTAAAGAGGACTTGGGCCCTCTTTCAGTAAAACACTGTTCAGAGCTAAAAGAGAGCTTCGGCTCGGTTAATAAGAGCCGTAATTGTTATTCACAGAGCACTTCCTGTGCTTTAATATACATCATCTGAACTTACGTACCTGTTATGTGCGGACCTGTGTCCCCACAAAATTTATATGTTGAAGTCCTAACACCCCCCTCCCCCATACCTAAGAATGTAACTGTATTGGGAGGTAGAGCCTTTAGAGAGGTAATTCAGTTAAAATGAGGTCATTAGGATGGGCCCTAATCCAACCTTACTGGTGTTCTTATATGAAGAGGAGATTAGGACACAGATGTGCACACAGGGCAGACCACGTGAGGACACAGGCAGAAGACGCTGTCTACAAGGCAAAGAGAGAGGCCTCTTTCCCTGTGACAACTTTATTTGGACTTCCAGCATCTAGAACTATGAGGAAATAAGTGTTGTTTAAGCTGCCCAGCCTGTGGCACTTCGTTATGGCAGCCCAAGTAGAATAACACAGTACTTTTTTGGTTCACGTTTTAGGGGTAAAACTAAGACACAGATATTAAGTAATTTGACCAAGAGCACACAGCTAATTTAGTGGTCAACTCAGGATCCCCCAGGGCTGTCCTCTTAGTCTGTACTGCCCCCCACCCAGTGCCTCAAAGACTATTTAGATGCCATTACAGCAAAATAGGTTAATTCCTATTCCATGGCGTGCTTGCTATATACATGTAGAATGTTCCCGTCATGGCAGAGAAGCTCCATGCGGCAGGAAACATGCCTGTCTCTTCTTCATCTCACTCTTCCCAAAGTCTAGAATGGTGCCTGGCATGTTGCAGGAACTCAGTAGCTGAATTATTTAATTTAAATTATTGTATTTTGTTTTTGGGAAAAGTCACTCAACTAGCATATTGATAAATCGGTTATAAAGGGTCTTTGAAAATGTACTGTGATAGCTAAGATCTAGCATTGTGTTTTCTGCTGACCTTGTCACTTTTATGTCCTGATGGAATATTCTGATACCTGCTCTTCCACAGATGTTTTGTGAAGCAGCTTTTGTGATTCATATATTTGAAAAGGTCTATTAAAAGATTATTTTTAAATGTTATATTTCTTGCAATCTTTGTTACCAATAAAAGCTGTCCTCTGCCTGGCCACGGCCCCTGCAGTGTGCTGACGGTTCCATGAGGGTCGTGCCACCTACTCACTAAGCCCCGGGCACCTGCCTTCTGGACAGAAGTTTACTTCATGGACTGTCTGCCTCTGGATTATGAAACTGCTGAATTACCACAGTGCGCTCTCATTGCATAGTTGAGCTAGCTTGCATTTCAGATCACAAGAAAGGATGAATTTTAAGGTTTAGAGACTTGTGTTTTTATGTAAAGCAAGTTAACCCAAAGTAGAAATCTACCTGTTCTAATACTCTGTCTTACTCTGGTGTTTTCTGTGCACGTGAGTAAAATGCTTTGGTACAGAAGGAAGTAGCAGAAGCCATTAGCCTAAGTGAGCTGGTGTATTCCCTTGAAAACCCGTGTGACTGCTCACTTCACGTCACCTCATGTGCCTCCTGGCACCAAGCTGAGCATGTGTCCCAAGGCGGCAGCATCTCAGGCCTGGGGCCAGTCTACATTTTGAGGGGATAGTGGCCCAATGCTCCACAGTCAAGGACAATTGTGATGCAGCCTTTTAACCCTCTTGACTCGCGCCTGCTTAACAAGGCAAGAGAAGCAAAAGTAATTCTTAGGACCTCCCTCTCTTTACTGCAGTTTGAGGAAGAAAAGGAGATAGAGGTACAGGCTACCTATGAGAGTCCTTTGGTGTCATTTTGGAGAGGAAAAAAGTTTATAAATGAGTGAGCGCAGTTTCCATACCGTCTAATCCTCCATGTTGACCAAGTCGGGTTGAAGCAGAGCTCACAGGTGAGCAGCCATGTCTCAGAAAAGCCGAGGAGGAAGAAGGCCAGCCCCACCCGTGCAGTGGTGTGTTTCCAGCTCTGGGGCCAACATGCTTTCTTCCCCTGGAATGTTCTGGAATTCTGTGCATTTTAACTGGGTTAAGGCATTTTTACCTTAGGGCTTTTCAGACTTTTTTCTTCATTTACAGGAAGAAAGGTGTTGCACATTACAGTTCAGAACTCACATCTGTGACTGAAGAAATAATACTTACTATAATTGTGTTTGGTGCACTGAAATTTTCTGTTTTATTCCCTTAAACCCAACACATTCCTACAGGTTGGTTGCACCCCATTAAATTGATTTTTATGATCCACTAGTGAGTTTTGACTCACAGTATGAAAAATTTTGCCTTCTATTTAAAGTATTAGCTAATTTTTCTCCATTCATTCATCACAATCTGTTGTGGGAAATTGGTCCACTGTTTTGCAAGAAGAGAAGAATTGCAAGAATAGAAGAAAGGTGAAGACATGGGTCTCTGCCCAGTAGGGCCATTATGCTACCAGGCAAAGGGGAGGGAGGACTGTGAGTGAGGACAGGAGTGGGACAGCAGTGGGGAGGTGGGGACACCGAGGGAGGGAAGGGGGACATTGGGGCTAGGCTGCAAGCTGTTCTCCTGGGGAGCTGAGACGTGAGGCATCTTAGCGTTGGGACGGGTCTTTGAATTCATTTAACCCAACTTCCCACCCAACACAAGATTGCAGACGACTTTTTGTGCCTTTATACCTTATTTTTCTAACTGAGGGGCACAGAGATTCTCTAAAAATGGATCATTTCAGAAGGAAACTTTCCACTGTTCTTTTGTGTGGCTGGGACTCCTGCATTTTTTTTATGGGTAAGAGAGATCGATTTTAGCACAACTTTCAGTAACTGCACAACGCTGCTGCCAACACTTTATTTTTCTGGTGGTGACTCTAGTTTGTAACCATGGTGGAGCTGGGCGCGCGCTGGCGTTGTCGCGGGCGCACACTGAGCCTTGCTGTGTCTCCGCAGGCCTCGGCAAGACGCGCAGGAAGACCAGCGCGCGGGACGCGTCCCCCACGCCCAGCACGGACGCCGAGTACCCCGCCAACGGCAGCGGCGCCGACCGCATCTACGACCTCAACATCCCGGCCTTCGTCAAGTTCGCCTACGTGGCCGAGCGGGAGGATGAGCTGTCCCTGGTGAAGGGGTCGCGCGTCACCGTCATGGAGAAGTGCAGCGACGGCTGGTGGCGAGGCAGCTACAACGGGCAGATCGGCTGGTTCCCCTCCAACTACGTGCTGGAGGAGACAGACGAGGCGGCCGCGGAGTCCCCGAGCTTCCTGAGCCTGCGCAAGGGCGCCTCGCTCAGCAACGGCCAGGGCGCGCGCGTGCTGCACGTGGTGCAGACGCTGTACCCCTTCAGCTCCGTCACCGAGGAGGAGCTCAACTTCGAGAAGGGAGAGACCATGGAGGTGATCGAGAAACCCGAGAACGACCCCGAGTGGTGGAAGTGCAAAAACGCCCGGGGCCAGGTGGGCCTCGTCCCCAAAAACTACGTGATGGTCCTCAGTGACGGGCCGGCCCTGCACCCTTCCCACGTCCCGCAGATAAGCTACACCGGGCCCTCGTCCAGCGGGCGCTTCGCGGGCCGAGAGTGGTACTACGGGAACGTGACGCGCCACCAGGCCGAGTGCGCCCTCAACGAGCGGGGCGTCGAGGGCGACTTCCTCATTAGGGACAGCGAGTCCTCGGTAAGTGCGCTCCGCCCGCGGGGGCCCTGCCCCGCAGGAACAGTGAGCGTGTTTGTGCTGCACGGTGTGACGGTGTGTGCCGTGCCCCTTTGGAATGCTCTCGAAACACGGCCTAGGACGGGTTGCTACTCTGTCATTGCCTTAAGATCTGCTCACTGTGGCCACTTGTTCTCCTGGAGATGGGAGCTTACCTAAAATGTTTTTAGCTCCTGAAGGTAGTTGTGCCTCTTTCCCAAGATTCCCCCCTTCTCTGTTTTACAGACTCAAACCTCATTTTCTCTCCTGCTTCCCCACCGTGTGTGTGGAAGGCCCGAGTGACTTGCTTTTGTTTCTGCTCTGTGCAGAGGCACACATAGTGTTCTCTGGAGACAGGCGCCTGGTTTCTGACGCAGACTTTTGTTGGTTGGTTGGTTTTTCGTTTTAAACCATATAATCCCAAGGTCATCTCCACCACGGGCAGCGCCACTGAGATCATCTCTGAAAAGCTTTTAAAGCACTTAAGGGCTGAATTGAAAAGAGGAGCAGGATTCTTGAGAGAGATGAGTTTTGTGTGTGTGCAGTGAATCGGAGGCATGAGGCCACTGACTTGGGACAGCAGAGCCACTTCCAGCAGTGGTCATCTGACCACTGCACAGGAGGCAGCCTTTCGGTGTGTTAATGGAAACACTCAACATTTCGTAGACAGCTTTCCAAATACACCTTCTATGATAGTGAGACCCCCCCCAAAGCAAGACAGACTTTTGAAGACAGAGTCCAGTGTACTTGACTTTCATTGGTGCTAATAGACTTCACTTTTCATTTTTTAAATGCAAACTGTAAGACAGTAAGTATGTACTATATACTGTGATTGTTTTCCTCCCAAAAGGACACAGTGAGTGAGTGCACATTCCAGATTCCTGTCGACTGATCCAAGAAGCATTCAAAGCCCTTCAGAGAGAGGCCACTGTGATCTGCTCTTCTCTGAGGCAGGAGCAGCATCGTGGTGGTGGGCACAGGACCCCTTTATGGTGTCAGCAGCTTCTCAGAGTTGGTGGCAGCTTTTAGAGGTGCTGGGGCGGGCATGCCGGCCCGACAGTTAACCACATCTGAAATCTGAACTCGAAGATTTTCTTATCAAGCTGCCAGAGTTTATCATTCCTGGCAAGACATCACATTAAATTGTTCTCACTGGACGTAAGCTCGGTACATAGCTTCCTTTAGATCATGTTTGAAGCCTTAAGAGAATTAGGACAGCAGCGCTTTTAACTCTGTCGAGCAGAAACTTAGAGAAAGCACTAGAAAACCAATTATAATACCAAGTGCTTAGTCCAGAATAATGCAGTCAAAGAGTGTAATCTTGGTTTCAACATTTTGAGTTTGAAGAGCCTTCTAGGAAGGGAGCAGGACTAAAGAAAGCCTACACTGTGGAGACATTGGCCCTCTTCGTTGTTCTTTCTGTCTAGACTTGGGCAGAGGTGGAAAGACCTTGGAAAAAGGGGAGGTGAGAACAGTGTCTGGCCTTAGGGAGGACCTGTGGCTTTTCTGTGGAACAGGTAGAGGTGGCTGTCACTATCTAAACTTACAGACCAAATCCTTTTGGGTAGGGAAGGATACATGCATTATCTGGGTTCCATTTCAGAGCTTGAATACACCCCACTGTCTCCTTTGTCTTGAATTATTAGAGAACGAGCCTTTTCTAAATAATTAAAGCACTAATTGTTTTTATTTTCTTGTAACCATCTTTATGGGAGCCTTTTCAGGTTTTTTTTTTGCATTCTGCCTTATTGGAAAACCAAGGAACAACCTGTTCATCATGTGCTGGGGTCTTTAATTCCAGGGGTTTGGGGGCAGAAAGGGCTCCACTGGGACTCACATTGGCTCTGCACTGACTGATAGTGGTACCATCTTGGTGATCTGTGGCTCCTTGTGGCCTGACGCTGTGCAGGGCTCCTGTCCTGATGGAACATGCCGTGTTTAGCTGTTAGTATGCATGCCTCGTGCCGAGCGGATGCTGCTCTAAGGAGTGTTGCTGCTTTTTCCCCGACAGCAGAACTAGGCTGGGTTTGCTGCATTTCCTGTTCATAACAGGGTCTGTTCTGTCACTGCCACTGCTACGAATGTGTCCCTGTGTACAAGTGGACAGACAGATCCCTTGCTTATTCTTTTTCCACCATCTACTCCCTCCCCCTTGTCTTTTTTCCTGTTCCTTTTGGCGTTTCTTAGGTTAGAGTCTGGCTTCACAGCCACCACCCGGCCACCGAGAGCCCTTAGGTTCCCAATCTGACATAATTGCATGTCGTGGAGTGCCAAGACAGAGAGGTGTCTGAGGGGTTCAGCCTCCCTCCAGGACTCAGAGGCAGATATCTTCACTTAATTTCCTTTTCCTCTCTTGCAGTCTTTGGGCCTGGGACTTTAATTGAGGTTGCCACAGGAAGCCTGACTTCTGAATAAGCACAACAGTTTTTTCAAGATGTGTATCAACTTTTTAAATATCCTGAATGATTCCAGTATAAATGAGCTAGACCTTTGCTTGACGATACCGAGAGGTGCATATTTCAGGGAAAACGAGCAAAGGCATAGCCATATCCTACACTATCCAGTGTCAGTGAAGCATTGCATATTGCAGAAGTGTAAGTGGGATGTATGTTGGATTAATCCATGAATGGGCAGAGGAACCTGTGGGGCTCTCTTTCTGTCCTGACCTCAGTACCTACTGTTTGTTCTTTCTTCCATCTCTTCTTCTTGCCTTGCTCCTCTCTCATCTACATTTGTCATTTGTCTTTGGCAGCTAAAGGGGACACATACTGTTTTTTATTCTTCATATTTCATGTTCATACCTCTACCTGTGAGCCATACTTCCTTAAATCTAGAAAGTTCAGAAATATGTGTGCTTATCATACATCTTTATATTACTATATTTTGTCTACATTGATTTTATGGATATGGGTAGAAAGCTGTACTTACAGTTAACAGAAACCCTTAACTAGATTTCTGGTAATCTGTGCAAGTCATCAGTATTTTATTTTCTCAATTGCTACACCCCCCTTGCTTGTGAAGGTTGTTGAGAAAGTGACAGATCACAACTAGGATGAGGTCTGAAAAGGTGCAGAGTTGGCTAGAGTGACTTTGCCAGGACAGTATTGGCCAAGGGCTTAGGAGCCCACTTTCTTCTGAAAGACTTTAGGTGCCAACCAGATCACCTTTTCCTTCCTGTTTGTTATTTCCCACAGTAGTGTTTAGATGATAATTTTTTTTTTTTGTCATACAACGGATTTGTTTCCAACAGAGAAAAACTCTCATGCGAAGGATAATTTAATGCACATATTGGCCACACTAAAAGTCTTTCATTCCTCTTCTTTTTTAATTTAATGAAATTATTTGAGCAGTAAATAAAAGAATTAGAAGAGTTCATTTCTGTATTTTTAAAATTATGTTTCTTACAGAAGTCATAATTTCTAACCAAAACTGTTTTCAGGCAGTGTTGTCATTCCACCCAGGGGTGGATGACAGACGTGGCCCTCCAGGTCCCCAAGTGCAGCCCCTCTACTGAATCCAAACTTCACAGAATAAATTCCTTTATTAAAAGGGATTTAGAATTGACATTAAGAAAAAGCTTAGGTTACTGTGCGCAGTGCCTGTACGCATCCAGTTTCAAAGAGAAGTTATTTTTAATTGTCAGGCTTTTTGCCCAGTACCAAAGGGAAGTTTTAAGTCTGGATTTTGTAATATTTCTAACTGTAAGCATATTTAATTCTTAAAAATAGAAGGATCTATAAGAGCATGTAGTACAGGCTCTGATCTGGAAGTTTAGTGCTCATTGCCTGATTCTCAGATGGGTTAGAGCCCTCAAAGATGCTGTCTCCTCCGTCCTGGCTACTCTTCAACACTCACCTTTAACACAAATGCCAGGCGTGATTGTGCATGCCTGCAGTCCCAGCTACCCGGGAGGCTGAGGCGGGAGGATCATTTTAGCCCAGGAGTTTGAGGTTGCAGTGAGCTGTGATGACACCACTGCGCTGGGTGAGATCCCATCTCAGAAAAACAAAAATAAAACAAAACAACCCACTATCTCCTGGGATCTGTGACAACAGGTGTCTTATTGACAGCTGGTTCTTTTAATATAACAATAGCAAACCTGATTGGTGTGTTGATCATAACTTCTTTGGGGACCACAGCTCCCCATCCTTCCCACAGGCTGGGCATGTGCTGACCTCCTTAGGTGAGCACTCCTTGGTCATCATTGCAGCTGTGACTACAGAAAAATCTGGAACTATGTTTTGCCTTATAGATTTAGACCTCCGTTTGGCTTACAGAAGAAGTAAAAATGAGGCGTACCTCTCTAGTAATCTGACGATCATTCCACTTAAACCAGCAGTGAGATAAAAATCATAGCAATTATTGGGTTTCTTTGAACTGTACTTTTTGTTTTTAACAACAGACACACACACAGAGATGTGGGATACAGACTGGGGAAGGAGGTGGGCACGAGTGGCACCTCAGGGCCCCCAGCAGGCACGCCCTAACCAACCGTTCCTTCCATCGGGTGTTTCCCGCTGTGGATGTGGTCACGGGGAGTGGTTGGCTCGCCGGGTGGTTATGGGAAAGCACCAGCCACCCCCGGCCTTCACGCTGGCCTCTCTCGGCTGATGGGGGGTGTGTACATGCGGCTCTGGGCAGCACTGGGAGTGTGTCTGCCCTGCTCGCAGGCAAGCACCCGGAATACAAGCACACACTTCCTCTCTGGAAACACAAGTGCCCCCCCATCAGAGGGGCTTTGCCAGGTGTCTTTTGAAAACAATTCCTCTGTAATTTGTGGAAAAGTTTATGTTTTGGTCTCAAGATTTGTGATAGAAAAGTACTGGGCCAAGAGAGGTGGTTTCTAAAGTATTTTACTAACATTACTAATTTCAAAGAGGCTCAGCAGGTAAAGCAGCCAAAGCAAGTCAGTATTATTGTAGCATGTTTGAAAAGAGTAGTGTCTCAGAGAAGAATATAATTATGTATCTGCCAGTAGTGGTCTT